ATATGGCGTCGGGCTCGGTTACTATTCCAACATGGCGTCGGCCTCGGGCGCTCTCGTTCGGGCCGACTAATTACGAACACTGTCTACACCTGAGTGAGTGAGTGAGTGACTGAGTGAGTGACACATTTGCATATCGGAGTCCCCGCAAGAAACACGTTTCTACGCTTCGCGTACCCACGAGTTTTAAAAGGCACATTTCGTGCTGGCATATAAAATGTAATTTACGAGACCCGCATATATGCGCATTTTAGCACGCATCTATCTGGGTCCTTGTAGGACGCGTATATTTGGGCATTTATTTCGCATATCCCCGCGCTTGAATTTACGCAAATATGTGGCCCTTTAAAAATGCGTATATACGCGATCTAAATGGTCGTATATATGAGCTTAAAGCCCATACGTAACTTATGTAAACAAGTGTACGCGGCAGAAAAACCCGCGTATACTCTGTCGTAATTTTGAAACGAATGGCCAACCATACAAGTCAACACAGAAGCAAACTTTGGTGTATATGCGAGGCGTGTTATTTCTCAAGAGGAAAAGATGATGATTTTCGAATTTGACCAGCATCATTATAATCGAAGATGTTTTTCGACTCTGCACCTATATAAATACAGAACGACTCGTACAAAGCTGTTATCCACAAAATTAAAACCAAAATAAAATTTGATGTAAGCTGGTTTCCACTAGCGTATAAACACACAGGCGGCCCAAGCTCTCAATGTTACCTTGAATTCCCATACAAACCTTCATAAATTCAAACCGTTGGAACACAACACCTCCATATACTGTTAGTCAAATTCAGTCGTTATGTAATAGTATATGCCATATGTCACGTTAGCCTGAACGTTGGCATAAACGTGAAAAAAAAGGGATAACATTGAGAGCTTGGGCCGCCTGTGATAAACATAGCATAAACAGCATACCCAGGTGCAATAAAGTGATGTTAAGTAGCGCATTCTGTTGGGGCAAATTTCCTAACAAAAAGCGCACTATAGTTCGTGGGGTCTTGCTTGTCAGAAGATGATTTCATCATCATCATCATCATTTATTTGCATTTAGTAACAAAAGATATTGACAATACTCAAAAAGCGGCGAGACCTCCAAAAGAAACCACCAGGCTTATAACGGAGGGCACCTCAGAAGTTAATATGGTAATCCCACTTTAGTTTTGCACGTAAGCAAATCTCTTAATCAGTTCGATGAAAAGGAAAATTGATCTACACGATGAACAGGAAACTGAGTTCGTCAGTAGTCATCTTCAGCGCTACTAAACTAGACAATCAAAAAGTATACCCCATTTGCCACAACAATACAGTGATCTGATTTAAGTACATACAACTCTATTTCATCATGACAACATTATCAGTCACATCATTCATTCTAAAAGTACTGGTCGATTGATATCGAAGCGAGCCAACCAAACACGTCCGTTTGCAGCTTAACCTAAAGGCTAAAGGCGATGTCAGTGAACATGAGTTGAACTCTTGAACTAAATCGAGCGTTGTTCAGGTAAATATATTGAACAAACAGAAAACCAGACATTGTTTACGTACTAGATATGCTCAGGTGGCCGAGGTAGCCAGACTGACGACCGGAATCTAGTATTTATAGCTGTAATTATTGTGGCAATAGAAGACCGTGTGGGACACAGCTTTTGGAACATCGTAAATAATCGCGCGCGCAGTTCTACTTACACTGCGCGAATCCAATTTGTGGCTATAAAACCGACTGTTAAACCCTAAACAACTGGACAGTCATTCTAGCAACTACTTTATACCTAACGACATCACCTCCTCAAATGCAGCGAACCAATCATACACTCCAAACGATCGATAAATAAATATATCAATCATTCAAACAATTGATCTATCAATTTCAAAACGTGGGATGGTGCTGCTCTCCGTATCCAAGACAGATTGGCCGTGTATAAAATGCTTGAAAATTAACAAAAAAATACTAGGAACTTCTGTAAACGAGAGCGAAAAAGGGGGCAAACAAAATTGCAGGCTTTTCATTCTGACCGCAGTGTTATTATACCTACGTACATATACAGAGGAAGAAAATAAAGCTCATTCAGACATTATGAACAGACGCTTTCAATGTTCATTATGAGCGCATGCGTCATCATGCACTCTGAGCAGTGGTTTTCAATGTTGATTATCATTGCATCTCTCATGCATTCTGTGAAGAGCAGAAGTTTTCAACGTTGATTATGACTGCATGCGTCGTGCATTCTGAACAGAACTGAACGGTTTTTAATGCTGATTATGAATTATACGAAGTTCATTTAATATTATCCACTGGAGTCGTACCCAGAGCAACATTTGATGTAAGCTGGCTTTTCAAGCGAATAACAGCATTACGCCAGATCATGAAGTGCTACTATGATGAAATTCGCATCTGTCCTTTCTACGCCGTTTTTAAAACGTTAACAAGTTGTCTGTAGGGGAAAGAAAATAAATTTTACTATTTTCAAATATCTCTTTTCGTTGCAATTTCATAAGTGAAATGGTTCGAATATTACTTGCTACCGCAACGGAAATTAACATATTTGCTACGGAAGACAAAAAACGTTTTAGAGAGTATTTACACTATATATACCTGATTGGAAAAACGTTGTCGGATGAAAAGTATAAACCATAAACGATACGACTTCATGGAATTATCGGAAGATTGAAGAAGGGTGAGCATAGTCATGAATATTCAAGATTGTTTCCTCGTGGCATTTAAATGACACAGTCACAGATCACAATGATTTAGAAAAACATGGAAACTGTTCATGTCTTCCTAAGGTTCCTAATGGTTGCTAAGTAAGAAAACAAAGGGAAATTTACATTTCCAGAAAAAGCGAGTAATCCTGCAATTTCTTCAATATCACAACCAAGGTAACAATAATGTCATACAGCCCGCATGTTGATCTTGTAAACCGCTTTAAAGCATGTACACGATGCGGATGCAAATAAGTATCATTTTGCAAGTTTCCCAGGAAACCACTGTGTCGTATCGTTCATGCATGGTTTATACTTTTTTCTTTACAACGTTTCTTTCAATTAGGTGTATTCAAAGAGAACGTGATCATTGCTTTTACACCTTTATTAATTCAAATCCCAATGTTTCGGGGTTTAAAATAACATGGATTAAAATATGATACCTAGTCTATTGTTCCATATAATCTTATACCGCTTTCAGTTTCTCTCGCATACAATAAAGAACATCAAGTTGATAAATGAAGCATAACCAATCAAGATATCTTGAAATCTTGATTTAGTTTTCCACCCAATGAGTCCTTTGCTGGTTTTCAGCCCATGAGAGGTCGACGTTTCTCCAGCATCGAGAAATGCGATCTTTTCTCCCTGGTATTGGGGCGCTCAGCTTTCTCTTCAACTCCTCTTTTAATCTACGAAATTAAGATTAAGATTTTACATGTAATCATCGGATTAGAATGTACACGTATAAAACAAGACACACATTATAAAACAAACATTAGACGCAGCAATTAGGATGACTATATAGGTTCCTAAGTTTAAAGCAAAATGGTTCTCTCCTTACAATTTTTGTTCCTGACTGCCAGTACCTTCAGAATGCAAGCGGAACGACAGGCATAGAAGAGCTAATTACCTTATACTAATTGAAGAACCTTCTAAGCTATGTTTAGGAAACAGTTATAAAATGCCTACAAACCTGATATCACGGCGTAATCCTTCACCAAAGACGCCATGTATTGCTTCCACCAGGCACGGTTCCATCAAACACAAGAGAAAACCAAACAGAAGGAAGACCTTCAGCAAACGCATGTTGATAGCGATCGTAAAGGGCCTTGCTGGCTAGAAGTTGATCTGAACAATGAATAGCAAAATGAGATCGGTGTAGCCGTGTTCAGCGCTATTAAGCTAAAGAATATATCTACATTTTTCTTAACAATACAGCAATTTGATTTAAGAAGCGACCATTCTATTTCATCCAGACCACATTTGACGACTAATCTATTCGTTCATCCTAAAAGTATTGGTAAATTGCATATCGAAGCGAGCGCATCAAACAAGCCCGTTTTTACCTGAATAAAAAAAAAAACTGAAGGCATGTCAAGGAATGAATATGAAATGAACTCCTTCTTAAATTAAACCGAATGTCTGAATATATATCTAAAATAATTAAGTAAATAGCTTTGCGCGGATCGAGTCACTCTGTTTGTTCAATTTTGCTTGAAGTTTACGAATAAAAAGCGTTTCAAAAATCAAACAGTCGAGTTTACTCTGATATTTTTTCAAAATCCTGAAATTGTTTCCAATGGTCTCTGGATCCTTTCCGTGCTCATCCTTTACGTGGTTGCCGATTGTTGATCGCTTATGTTCCTCCACACATTGACGTAGGTGTCGACTCGTGAGGCCGCCGGACATGGTCTGCATCGCACAGACCACACTTGTAATAATAAACAGCTTTCTGTTGATTCACAATTGGAGGTTTATGTTCCTTTGGTTTCAATTGCCCTTTGATCTTCTGATCGACTTGTGTAAACAGGCTGGACAACGGCATCAATCTTTCGACTGAGATCACCGAGTTGGTGTCTTACCGCATTCGCCGATTTCTGCTCTTTGAACGGTAAGACAATTCTGATGGGAGAATCTTGTTCATCGGATACTTGTTGTTTAAAACACACATTCTCAGTAGCTTTCATTTCAATAAAATGTCTGATGGTGTTCTCTACGAGAGTTTTGGGATAATGCAGGCGAGCAAAAACCATTTTAAGACGTTCACATTCTTAATGGAAGAACTGCCAATTCGAGGAGAGTTTGAACGCACGGTATAACATTGTCTTCAGTAGATAATGTTTATACCTTACGTCAACATGGTTTTTGTAATGTAGTAGAAAATGCAGTGAGGGGTGGATTTCATTCAGTGTTAACAAGAATTCAGAGGCAGATGAAACATCGGGCATTTTGCTGAGGATGTCGTCGACATAGCACTTATAGAAAACAGGCATCTTGTTTTGGTTATCCAATTTTTCTTCAATATTGCACATAAACGCATGTGCAATGTTAAACCGTGCGTCGTTGCTTTTTAACATTAACTTTTTTAGTGGAATCCGTTTCTAAAAATTTGTTGATTCGTATTTTGATATCACACAATTTAATCGCCTTGATACAGGATTTTGGTCAGTACCAATATTTTACTGACCCATTAGCCGGTTTATTTTAAAAGCATAAGAACCAGAAACGCTTTTACATCCTATTTTGCATACAAAACAAAAATTGCTGCAATTTGGACAAATTAGATTGACTACTTTAAGCAAGTCTTGAAAAGTGATTGGTTGTTTTTCTTAAGTGTTCCATTCTCATTGGCTGGGAAAAAGATGCGATTTTGTGCAAAAAATAGTGCGATTTGCGAATGAATCGTACGTGTACCTGAGAGCCAATCAGATTGCAAGGATAACCAGTGATTTCAAACTGATAGATGTAATAAATTACGTTGCCGAAGTGATAGTGTTAACTAATTCAATGTGGAAAACTTGACTCGCTAATAGTTTTTACCGATTACAGCTGTCCAGCCGCTGCTTTTGATAGCTCCCTTTTACAGGTGCGAATTTAAAATTTTGAAAGCTTCCTATTACTCGATGTCCTCGATTTAACCACATCATATTATGTACTGGGCAAAAACTACTCATCTTGGAGAGCAAGCTAAGGGATGTCTTTTAAATGCAAAACAATTTTGATGTCTTTTCATCCGACGAAAGCCAAAGGGAATAACCCCATCCACCTTCCTCTTGTGTCACGATAGTGGTATGAGTTTGACTGTATATCCGAAGGTTAAGAGTTAAAAATTCTGCTTCTGAGCCGGTCTCTAACTGTTTGCAAATTTTGTCTGCTGCCCATACAGGGCAGCTAGCTTTCTATTCCCGTTCCTGAATGTCGACCTTTTCTGTTTTGCTGTTACGCTGTGTCACTGTTTGTTAGCAGTTCCCATGCCTTGCAGCCCAGAAACCGACGAGCTTTTGAAGTAAAAATGGCGGGCACTGTCAGATGCTGTCGAGCGAGCTTAAAACCACCTGCAAAGATCTTGAAGATGGCTTCTGAGGAGTATTTCTTTGATTTTAAGGAACAGATCGTTTGAACAAAAGAAATTTATTTCGCACGTTTGCTCGTAAAGCAAGGACAATGTTTTCTTTGTGCATCAAATTCGAACAACAGAGCGTTTTACAGTACCTTTTGTTTCTCAAAAATTTTAATCTAGAGATTTAGCCGGGCCTAAAAGCGGAGCTCCTGATTACAAAATTTAAACATAAATGAAAAGAGGATTTTTTTCCCTGGATCGGAAACTCAAAAAAAGATTAATTGTGAGTATGTGATTTCACAATTTTTTTCTGGTTACATTTTAAAAAACCATACCTAATGAGTGTACCCAAGATTATTGAAATTA